TGTTGTTCATTCATTATTCATTCTGCAACAAGGTAATAAATGTTTTTCTGAATCAGGTAACTATGGGCTGTGAATCTCCAGAACAGTCTACATAAACATCTACATTTATGGACTCCATTGATGAAGTCAAACAAGGATTATATCAGTAGTTATAATAGTCAGATCCACCCCTTGCTTTTAGCACCTTCACAAAGGCCCATCCCTAACCAGTGGTTGATATCACGGTGACTGTATTCATCTTTTATATACAGTCTATGCTCACTAGCAATTACAGGTTAATGAACCTGAGCTGTTGCTGATGGTGTTTCTTCAGTTTTAACAGATTCTTCTGGAGAACACAAGACTGCAAGCTAAAGAAGGAAGTGTAGTGTCACTCATGTTTCTGTCTCATGTTTCCTTTTCCCATCATATAAATGCACTGCTGTGCCTCAGAGAGATGTGCTTCTTTTCACTGTGAACTTCTGGGAAGGCTGCCTCACTTAGCACCTCCTGCCTCAGAGATGTAAAGAGCTAAAAATAGAGCAGACTGCAGACTGGTGCTCAAACTGCACGCCAGCTCAGTGGAATCAGGACAGATACATGAAAGCATAAACACAGCAGCTGAGGAAGAAGGATGCGTGGGTGCATGTTATGTGCAGATATGCTTCCCTTATCTATCCAAGCCTATGTTTGTGAGGAGGACATTTGTTGAGATCTAACAGAGAGGGCTTCTGCTCTGTCCTTCACATATACTAGAGAGGTCTTGCTATGACTCACAGGTCTACAAAACAAAAGTGCTGCTGTAAAGCTTTTAGAGTCAGCCATGTAAAATTTATTTTCTTTCAAATCTAGAATATTCCTCACTGCATACAGCTTACATTAAAGAGCTGTGAAGGAATTCAAATGATGTTTACCTCAAACTTTAACATTAGCATTAATTCATTAGAATTCCAGTACTTTTAAATTATCAATTATATTATATGATTAAAAAACATGATTATCTGTCATCTAATAAACATTGTGACTACCTTTTAGAATTGGTTATGTTTATTGGGGGGAAAGAGTGTTTCTGAGCGTGAGATAAGAAGACGCCATGTAGTGTCACGTGTTAGCAGCAAATGTTTCACTACAGTAAGCTAACACTTAGGCTAGCTATCACAGAGATTATGAACAAAGTTAAACAAATGTCTGATTCCACTGAATCAGAGCCTCTAAAGCTTCATGAACATGCTTCATGTCATTTGTATAATCAGTCTTAAAAGACAATTTTGAAAAAGAAAAAAAAGATTGTTTCTACCAACGATCAAGCTCCAAAAACTACCCGACATCAACTGAAAGCTTCTTTAACGTCTTGGAGGTCAAATCTGCTACAGACTTACTTCTTTTAAACTCCACACATGTAATATACAATGAAAGATTTCAGCTAAACATCTGAAGTCTACATTTTGAGACAAACTTGTTAACATCATCGGGGTAAACTAAAAGTACTTTGGAACATTCCTGTTTGATAAATAAGTCAAAAACAAGTTCAGCTGATGCCATAGATATCACCATTTGAACCTCATTTGAATGTCCTCCTTAGACTTTCTAGCAGGACAAAGATTGTGTTCAAGAACAGGTTTCTGCTATATCATTGTGTATTACAGTTAAAACAAACATTCTTATTGGAAAAAAGAGAAGTAAAATACAAACATTGTGTCATTGTTCTATTGAGCTAACCATTTTCATAATCACCTGGTTGCATCCCTGGGTTTATAGTGCTAACGTTGTGTACGTTATGTACAGAGAAGTTCTGGTTGTGCATAAGTAGCTTATGCACATCTAAATGTTCCACTTATAAGAATCTGAGTAAGTGCAAAAGACATTGTGTGGCCATCTGTTTACAACCATCTACCAACTGGGTTAGTTTCTGTTTTAAAAATGCTCATTACACAGAGACGGTCTCATTACCCTTCTTCTCTGTGCAGAAACAATGTAAACATGTGCGGTCGTACTTCAACCAGCTGTCACCAGGGAGATGAGAGTTGTAACCATGTTTTCTGGGTGTCTTTGGCATCTTGTACTCATCCTTCTTAGTGCATGCTTAACTAGGCAAGCTCCTCCCCCATGGCAAATGAACTTAGTGTTTTGTCCTATTTCCTTTTTTATGTCTGTCTTGTCTTTCTTCCTCCCCACTGTTGCCACATGCTACTAATACAGATCATTCACTCTCTATAATATAAAGCCCAATGAGATGACTGGTACTATATTAATAACATTTAACTGAAGTAAATTTCAACCAATCCCTCTACGTTGGCCTGTATTTCACTTTCCTTAACATGCAGCCCTCTATTTGTATTTCAATTGCCGATACGTTTAACTTATAGAGGGGCTTTATAAGCTTTAGGGGAAAGCACTGACTTATGTGATGAATCAGCTCATCAATTTACAAATTCTGAAACACATTTTGTAATTTTGATTTTCTACAGTACTATAACAGACACCTCCTAGCTTTTCATGTATTTTCAAACTGTACTTTTTGGAGTACTGGAAAATAAATGTGTCCGTCTCTAACTTTGGGTCGACGTCTGTTGTTCAAACATGCTATAGGCTACAAATAAAACATGATTTCAGACACCCTGGATGTCTGAGGTATAGTTTATCGTTTCAAAAAAATTTATTCAACACAGTTCAGTGTGCCATCAATGCTGACCATGCAGAAATCAGTAAAAGTAGAGCATGCCTCTGTGGATGCTCTGCAGGTTAAGAACATGAGCTATTTATAAACTCCTTCACTCCTACCATTTTTCCCTCTCCCCTCCACCTCTTCAAAAATTAAACAGACTGTGAAGGCCATGGTATGCTGGTTGGTTTCCTGCATCCTTTTATTTTATTTCACACTCAGACAAGAGAAAAAATGGATTTTGCCATACCACACGATTTTTAACAAATCTAAATATGTCATATATGTGACAGTGCTGGTTAACAGCAATAAGTCCTTTTAGTAAGCTCAAGCTAAAGTATTCATTCTCTGGAGCGTCTAGATCTTTCTACAGCGCATGAGTGAAGCGTGCTCGTGCAAAGCAAACAGATGTAATGATGTGTTTACATCTTTCATTACTCAGTGAATCCTCTCTGCAGGCTGACCTTTCCGCGTCATATAGGTATAATCTAATAACAATAATAACTTCATTCATATTCTCCATATTTTTCTGTAAGTTTCATAGTGCATCCTGCACGTATGAGCACATTTTCAGAATGGTACAGGCTTTTTACAAACACGTGGTCATAATGAAGGATTTGTATTGTCTATAAAAAGCGCTTTATACATGACAACAATGACTCACGCATTGCCGACGTATATCCTCGGGTAGACCTCGTGGAAGTGTTTTGTTGGCCAGCTGTAGAAGCCGCTTTCGTCCGTCAACAGATCGTTGAGTTGTTGGAGTGACACCTCAAAGCTGGACATGTCGAATCGGTTGGAAGCCGATGTCTTCACCTGTTGGTTATGTTTGTTCTTCATGTCCGAAGCAAAGCAGTGGATCCGCCGAGAAGGAATGAACGTGGCAGATAGGTATCGGCTTACCAGGCTGATGGAGCGCTCTGCTGCTCTGAACAGCGCGCTGCTCAGTGTGGGGTAGATTAAACCCACCGACAGGGCCGGAGCGCCCGTATGGGCGGCCCTGGGCCAATGGTCCCCACCATGGTGGGAGAGAAAAGAGGAGAAAATTGCATTAGAGTATCATAATAATAATAAGTGTTATTACATTTTCACACTTTTCTCTCTTGTTTAAATACTCTCAAAGTTCAAACCTTTGTAGAAAAATAAGTCCAGTTTATAAAATGAAACTAAAGATCAAACCCTGTTTTCATGAGCAGAACATGGGAATAGAGCAGCTGCCAGAGAATTCAGCATTAAACAGTTAATGGTACGGAAGTAGAAAAAGCAAGAAGAATGAGTTAAGTAAAGTTTGACTTATCTGACTGTTTTGTTTTGTTTAATGTGCCTTATAATGCGGTAGTACATATATATATATATA